CAAAACGGGTTCACCACATTAGCAATCTTTCAAATGCCTTATCAGCTTTAAGAAGAAGAGGCCTTAATTTGGCTAACAATAATCCCACCGATATAGCAGATGGAAATCCTCCAGTTACACTTGGCCTTATTTGGCAAATCATATCATACTTCCAGGTATTGTACATTAAATTATATCAACTTGTTTCCTTTATATAATGTCACTTACTTCAATTTTAAGTACTTTAGAAATAAATAGCAATAACGTATCTTGATTTTTTCAAACTGTTATCAGTAATTTTTTTTATAACTCAGATCGAGAACAATGTTCATTTGTTGAAAGAATACGGGTTCGAGCTGGATAGTCAAATACCATCAACTTCGAGCGTTTGTGTTGATAGTAGCGATCAGGACGAAAAATTTGAAACACGGGTTCAGTCAGGTCTTATTAGGGTTCCAGCTGAAAAAGTTTTTTTGCGTTGGATAAATTCTCAGTTAACTAGGTAATTTCTTCTTTGTTTTTATTTCGGACTTATACTTAAGTTAAGTAGTAATTAATATCGATTTTATCATTGCTAAGAAACGATTTGTATCAGGACCAGGGTATATTTTTTTAAAACTGTTTTCGATGTTGATAGTATCTGAGCAGAAGCTGCGGGAAATATTTTTTATGCGTTAGTGTATTATAAAAGTTCTCATGCAAGCGAAACTAAACAGTTTGAATAACAAAATTTTGATAGCGACCGCTGTAAAAGGCCCTGAGACTGCTTGTAGACGGCATTTAATAAAATAAATCTTTTTGGAAGAATATTTCTAATTTATCAGTGTCATGTAAGGGGGAATTTGTTTGTTGTCTGCATTATACACTAATCTTGCCATCCTTCAAGAATTTCTCCTCCCAATATTTATTTCTTATCAAGCTATAGGCGCTTAAAAAGAAGGAGATATACAGTGTCAAGGAGTAAACAGAGGTTTTTATTAATCATTTTCTTAAATTTAGTGCCTTAGATTCTGTCACTACAATGCTTCTATTCTGCCATATTGTTCTGAGGGGCGTGTAGGGAGTAGAGGTGTAGTAGTAGAATTTAATATTAATTTTATTCAATTCAGTATTTCTTTATCTGTAATTCTGCACGGTTTTTGTTTGGAATTTTAGTCTTTTTAAAACACAGAGAGCACGATGTTATTTGCAACACTCTAAAACATTATTTTTGAAAAAACACTTTGCGGCAAAAAATATTTTTTGGCTGCCATGTCAAATCAAAAAAAGTCAAGAAAAGCTTTTTTAAAGAAGTTTTATCAAACTCTCGCAAATCTCTTCTAAAGTCTTTTCAAATTGGTTTTTTAAAGGGATTATGGAGTTAGAATATCGAATATGGGTTCGGACTGGAAGAATGGCGTAGTGTTCAATGCTTTGATTCATAAATTAAAACCTGACCTTGTTAACATGGAAGAAGTGCGTCAATCCCCGCCGAAAGTGAACCTCGAGAAAGTTAGTATGACGCTTTTATTTTTTATGTGTTTCACTAACTTGTTAAAGTTGTATTAGATTGTGTACAGGTAAAGAGAAGTGGTGTTTAGACAGGCCGGGAAAGCCTAGTTTGAGTTGGTTAAGCTGGGGTCTTACAGTTTGGAACAGTAAATTATTTAGAGCATTGTTTCAATCAAGTACACAGATTTTCGGCTTGATGATAGAATTCTTGTTTTTTTGGACTGACCGTGCTCTGTGCAGACAACATAATTATCTAAAGCTTAGGCTTCATTCTTAGAAAAGACAAGACTGCAAATACTGGCTCGGTTTTTCGTTATTTAAAAAAGCTACTTGCTTTATTAGACCATCAAATATTGGCAGCTGAACTGCTATTTAGACTCTCTGTATTGAAAATTTTTTGTAATAGAATACATGTCATTTCTTGCATGGAAAGTTACTTTATTTAGAGAAAATTTTGATTTTCAGGCATTCCAACTGGCTAGCGAGCATTTGCATATACATCCGTTGTTGGAAGTAGATGACATGCTAAGCGGAGAGCCAGATGAACGAAGCGTAATGACTTACGTTTCACAGTTTATCCAGTTGCCTTCGTTATCACATCCACCTCAGAGTATACCAGTTTTTGATATTGAATCACTGGAGGCCTGGCTTGATAAAAGTTTAAGAATTTTGCGTACGCCATCTTCAGCTTCACTTTATGATCGGAATCAAGTAAGTGCAAATCAAAGATCTTCACAAACTTGTCTTACATGTAAGCGCATAGTGATTTATTTACTAGAGATTACTCTCGGGTCAGCCAGCTTTTTGTTTTAGACTTACCTTAGTTTACGAAAGGAGTTCCTTGACCATCGTCAGGCTTATTGCAAACTAAGAGAGCTTCAACGTAATATCCCTTATGGCAAGTGGAGTCATATTGAAAGCAAGTTAGTTTTTTTTTAAAAATTTTAAAACTCTTTTGATGATGCAACTAACTTTCATAAATTTTTGTTGACGTTGTATACACTCTAAATGAACATATGTTAGCTTCACTCATTTGAACCTTTACTCTCAATTTCTGGTTAGCTTATTGTGAAATTGTAGTTCCTAACTGACAAAAACTGACCAAGTGTTTTGTATTTACTTGAAAAGTAAAATTTAGAGGAACTGCTTCTCTACTACGTTTGACAGAAGTTTTTAATTAAGGTAATATCAAGAGAAAAATTTTTTTAATATAGAAGCATGCGTTTTTGATAGGCATATTTTCTTATACTAGATACTAGTCATTATTGTTATCTAAAAATATTATTGAACACTTTATGAGCAGAATGTGATGCGGTATATTATTACGTTTTCGCTAAAATTTTTTTCAATGTTTTGCTGTTTTGCAGATGGAAGGAGGTTGGGGAATTGTTGTCAGAGCTGAGTCATACTTTGGATGAAGAACTTCCTGGACCTTTGTCTGATCTGACTCAGTTCCTCACCAATGCGGAACAAGTCATACGCCGGCCCTTGGAACTCAATGACGACGCTGAACAATCACTGAGGATAATTAAAGAAGCGCAAGAAAAGTATAAGGTGCTGTTACTCGCATTTTGGCTTTTTTCGCTTTTATTTCTCAGATATGGAGAGCAACTGCTTTTTGCAGAAGTTGGACGCGGAATACTCGCGTTCATCAGGAAAATTCAAGCAGATATATGTTAGTAGGCGGGTTGACGGACGAGAAATTACAAGCGAGTTTTTGGAGCCGCTGAAGAAACGTTTCGAAAACGTAGGCCGTGAAATTTCTCGTTTACTGAAACATATGCGTTTTTTACACGCCTATTATCGCGTTCTGGAATACACTGAATCCTTGAACCGGAAGAAGAAGCTGATGAAGTCAGGGGATTCCCTGACTTCTGTGAAACGTTGGATCAAGGAGTATGAGGTAAGTTTGCTAATTTTGAAATGTACATTGAAAAGTTAGTAAGTGGCATTGTTTTTTAGTTCAATGTTAGTAAGAGCTTAAGCGATTAAGCGGCTTGTTTGTTGTTAATTACATTTTTAAGGCAGTACGGGATACTAATCCTGAGCGGAAACTCCAAACCTACATCGACGAACTCGAAACGATTATTATTTCTGGTGTGGTTTTATACTGTTAACTTTTTTACTGCAACCTAATTGCTATTTCAGAAATATGGGTTTACATGTTACCTAGTGCTTTTCACATACTAAGGATTAATTAATTATTTTTCAGAGAATGACGAAACTAAAAAACGATCTGTTCAGAAATGTAAAAAAGATGCAGACGACTGTCTTCGAGATTTCAATGCGATGGAACGTGACTTACATTCTCTTTCACATCACTGGCAAGAATTTGAACGGTGTGCAAATGAGGTAATATTCCAGTTTTTCTAAGCTTATTGAGACTTTCTTGTTGCTTCAACCAATTACCTTGTTCTGTTTTACCATGCAATTAAATTGAAATTGCATTTCTGTCTAGAAATTAACAGGCTTGCGATTTTTTGTAAAGTCTTATCACATTAACAAAATAAGGTTGAAAAAACGGTTGAAAAGTCGGAGCGAGAAAAACGGAATCTGTTGGATTTTGGAGTTGACGAAAAGATGCAAAGCTGTGAGATAGCGCGGAATGCTATTGCACGTATGTCTCATGCAAATGGCCGAGAAGCAGTAAACACTCGTCTTACTAATTTGCGTGAACGCGTCAATAAAATTAGGAAGGTAGATGTTCTTAAGCAGTTGAAATATGGCTGTTGATGATGGGGAATTTCACCTACTTTTTTACCTTTGATTTTACAATTTTCAGATTCCCCTTGCTGGTCGCGAAGCTGAGGAGCCTAAGCAAGCTTCCCAACAGCCTCGTACTTTTATCTTTAAGCACGTTTTTAGAAGCCGTCCTGAACGAGCTCCTTCTTCGACACCTGTACATTCACCAACTCCAAGTCGTATGAATACTTGGATGAGTGGTGTTAATGATGTGCTGTCCAGGAAGGTCTCAAATCTGGACCAGTTGGATACTATGTCTAGACAAATCAAAGTACTGTTAAAGCTTGTCTTATGGCACAGAGGAAGTGATTGGTTTCATTACCTCTCTTCTTCAGGATTATCAAGAAGAACTTCACACTGTCGAGAAGGAAAGAATTGCCATTTTGCAAGTTCGTAGGCATAGCGAACAACATACCAGTGAATTCATGAAATTGAAAAGTCAGGTGCAGGCAAGACAACAACAGCTTAAAAAAGTGCGGCCAATCCTTGCAAAATATGAAAAAATTTATAAAAAGACGCTTTTGGAAGTCGTCTCTTCTCCAAAGGTACCTACTTAATGTTTGAATCCTCTTTTTTTAACGTGGAGGATAAAGTTACCCGTTCTTGTTTAGCGCTTGCGAAAGGACTCGAAAGAAAGCGCGGAAAATTTAGATCATTTAGAACGAATCTTAAATAATTCATTATCTCGAGAAGAGTACTCTTCTTGGATTGATAAGGTCACTATGCAAACGCAACTAGATGATCTGCGTTCGAAGTTTGAGGTAAGTGCTTAGTATTCAGTGATAAGCTAATATTTCGAGTGTCCTTCCTGTTTTTTTTTTTTTAAATTGAGTGGAACATCTTAGTCATATGTGAAAATATGGTTTTTGACATGAGTTTTCCAGAACTTGTTCCTCAGCTTTTTTTTTTCAGTCTGAGTTGAATTTTGATTACTGCGCCCAAGTAGTTCTTCAGTTTTCGTCGTTCCATTGTGAACAGTCGAAAACGAATTGTGGACTATACATTTGTTATGAAATTGTTTTCTTATTTGGCGTTTCACTCAGAACAAACATAATGAATATAAATTTATTTGGTGATCAACTTTTAAAGTGTAGGAAAAGAGAGGTTTTTGAAGTAAAATTTCTCTGTAAAATTTATGTTAATGTTTGTTCTGTAATATTTGTAAACAGATGAGCATTCAAATCTGTCTCATCAAAGAATTCGATAAATTACAAGTTTACCAGAAGAAAAATTAGGGAATTAGCGAATTAATCTGTTGCGCTAATCACTAAATCATAAGGTGTCATTGTTTTCTCTGAGTATTAACTTAGGCGATTGGAAGGGAGGCTACTGATTTGATCAAAGAGGTTCTTGTGATTGAGTAATTTTAGACCGATTGTGACTCTCAACGCCAATGTTTCGTTCTGATTCAGCTGTTTTTTTTTTTGTTTCATTTTTTTTTCTTTGGCACGTTATTCTCTAGTTTTAAATAGAGTTTGCTGCCACCTGAAGTGAAAGCAAAGATTATGCATTGCCAAAAGTAAAAAAATTTCAATTGAAAATTTTTCTTTCATTTGTTGTGTAACACATCGGAAATACGTAGCAGGTTTTACGTTGGCTGCGCGCGTTACAACTGCGTTGCTGTTCTACCACTAAGATTTGAAGTTATTATAGTAGTTGGGGGATCGAAGTTTGCACACTGTTGAAATGTTTGTGAATAAGCGACGTTAAACAGAAAAAGTTTTCTTCTCAAAATCATCAAGTTTAAACAGTTTCCTTTTTTACACGTTACATTCTGCTCAGGAATAATATTTCTACCAGTATTTGGAAAATGCTGAGAAGGTGGTAGCAGATTCAATCAAAAGTTTTCAGTGGAATTTTTTGAAATTCATTCAAGAGTCAAGTAGGCGGTTAACCAAAGTGAGGGGGAAATATGATAGAAGAAGAGACGAGAATTGTCATTTTTTCTGTTTCGCAGGTTTCTTGAACTGGAAATGATTTATGTTAACGTTAATTATACGAGCCATATTGTTTGATCGAGTGGAAGCAGTTCTTGGGAGTACTTTGTAGGAGGAAAAAAAAATTTTGAGCGTTCACTTGAAGTACAGTGCATACAAAAATTCATATAGTTTTGTTAGCACAATTTGTGCATATCTAAAAAAAGCGAGATAGTTTTGTCTAATTTTGGTTTGGTCGAGCACCTTTGTAGTTGTTATGTACGTTGAAGAAAAGTATTCGGAAAGGAACACTGACAAATGTTGTTTCTCTTGCCTTCAATTTCTTTAAATGAATTTTAGAATGTTTTTTTTTGAAGAAAACCAAAGATTGTTTGTATTTTCCCCCGTATGAACTAATTTTTTGTTTTCTTTCCCTTTTCTTCAACTCTTTCGGTCTCACCTTTTTAATTTCTAGGCAAAAGATTATGGTGGTACCAACAGTCTTGTGGTCGCCAAGGACAGATGTATTAAGCGGAGAGAGGAAAACTGGTTGGAATTTGAGGAGACTAAACGTGAGGTTGATGACATTGATAGGAAGTTATGCGGTACCTCTGACTTTGAGAAGCAGACAGTGGCTGTTCTGAACGATGCATGGAAAAGCAAGTGTAATGGAATGGAACGTCTGCGTAGTTTGGAGGAAAAGATTATAGAAGTGGAAGGGAAATTGAAGGCAAAAAAATCGTTGGATATAATTAGTTTTGCGGCGTTACTTCCAGAGGTTCAGGTATCCGAACAACGGTGCACTCAGGTTACAGACCAGTGTTGTTCGGGAATTCGTGATCAACTGGTTGCTCGACTTCACCGTGCAGTAAAAGCAATTATTGAAGAGGCGGGGCAACGACTGCAAGAATTATCATCTGCTGACGAGGCAAATTTACAACAGGCAGCAGCATTTCTGAAGGTCTTCTTCTTTGCCTTCTTCAGTGTTTTGGAACTGATGCCCAGTTTTTTTTTTTTTTTTTTTTTTTTTTTTTTTTTTT